CATAGTTAGATAAATAACAAGTGGTTTTCATTATGTTTTATTTAATTCCTGTGTGTGTACGTTCTGGGGAGTGGGAACATGTGTGTCACAATGGATACACAGAAGTCAGAGGACAACTTGCAGAAGTTGATTCTCTCCCCCCACTGTGAGGATCCCAAGGATTGAACTCAGGTTGCCAAACTTAGAGGCAAATACCTTTACACATGGAGCCGTCTGGCTGGGGATCAAAGCCAGGATTTCAAATATGCTAGGTAAGCACTAACACTGAGCTATATGCTCAACCACACCATATTTTAAATTGAGCAGCTACTGAAACTTATAAGAACAAAACCAAAATAGTCTATAACCCTACCACCCAATGACATACTTTCCTATTTTTTCAGTCTTAATCTTCATTAAAGGGTGACCTACTTACAATTCAGATTTGGAGGGAGCAGCAGGCTAACTTAAGTTCTTCGTAATCTTTCAACCTTAGGCAGTATTAGAGAAATAAAAATGTCCCTTGTGTAGGAATACATACATATATACATATGTATGTATATATCATATATATCAACTATATCAACTATAATTGAGATATACATTATAGGGATATATTAAAATATAAATATCTATAATTTCATGCACACACATATTGACCAGTCTCAATTGTTACCACAATAGTACTATGTAACAATTCTATCCACCTGTAACCCCCGGCACTCAGAGGAGAATTATCAATTCAAGAGCAGCCAGGGCTACAGTAGCAAGACCCTTTCAAAACAAAACAAAGGACAAGGTAGGGTGGTGCAAGCCTTTAATCCTAGTACTTGAGAGGTAGAAGCAGAGGCAGATGGAAAGGCAGAGGCAGGCAGATCTCTGTAAGTTCGAGGCCAGCCTGCTCTACATACAGAGTTCCAGCAAGGGCTGCATAAAGAAACTGACTCACACAAACACAACCTCCCACACACTCCTTGTCCGAAGTTTAAAGTTGTTTATTCTTTCTGACTCTTTCGCAAGCTGAGCTCTGCTGAGTGGCTCTGGGTTACAGCATGGCGTTGACTGGACATGCCTTCTAACCATGGGCAAAACTCAGATCCGTTCTTTCTGAGGCCAAGGTTACCTCATCGTCTCTTGGCTCTGGCCAAGAGGTCACGGAGACAAGCACAATGCAAACCTACACAAGCCTCTGTTTGTGCTTCTGTCTTGCTTGCTCTAATTTCATTGGCCAACACACATCACATGGCTAAATCCAAAGTTGAGGGAAAGGAAAGCAAGTCAGTGGCTAAGATCAACATTAGTGGTCCAGGGAAGAAGTCGTTCTTCCTGGGGAGGCAAAGGTGAGAGGGATGGACACACACCACCACCACCACCACCACCACCGCCACCACCACCACATTTGTGTGTGGTGTGTGCTCGTGTGTGGGTATGTGTAAGTGCAATGTCCATGGAGTCGAGAAGAGGGCACCAGATCCCCTGAGGCTAGAGTTACAGGCAGTTGTGAACCACCTGACATGGGTACTGGTACTCAAACTCAGGTCTTCTGAAAGAGCAGCAAATGCTCTTAACCACTGAGCTACCTCTGCAGTCCTCAAGGGACGGACTATGTTAAAGGATAATATCTGAGGCATCTGCTGTGATGCTCTTTTGAGATTTAGGTGAACTCTTGGAACTCACCTGGTCACTAGTTTCATGCATCCTGTCTAAGAGAGTTCTGGCCCAGAACTTGCATTGCTGTGCTTTATAGGTCACCTCAGCTGTCCTGTGTGTGTTGCTCCTGTTCTGCTCTCACGCCTTGCATCAATTTCTCCCTAGAATAATTCACAGAGATGTATGCAGAAGATTTTGCTGAACATTTGGGACAGTAAAAGATTTCTACATCTGCATTCATACCCCTATAGCATTCAGCCCCTCTCATTTGGATCTTATGTGTATTCAACCCACACTCAGCCTTCCTGGTCAACGCTTGCTGGAGAATGTTCTCTGGTTTCAGGAATTCTGATTGCCTCATCTCGTAGCCTTTGTGCAAGCTGGTTCAGCTTTTGTATTAATTCATCCAATGTTTGTATATTGAGAATGTGTGTCCCTCCCCACCTTGATAAATTTTTAATCCAGGTGGAGAAATTAGTAATGCCTGCTGCTATTTGGGGGCCAGGTCATTCTTCTCTACAGAGACTGTTTGTGCATCGTAAGATGTTTATTAGCATCTCCAGTCTCCATTTGCTTGATGTCAATAACACCAGTACTTGTTTCCTTGAGTTATAAACAACCAGAGTAGAGATGCTGCAGCCTTCTTCCAAGAGGAAAGTCACCTCTGCAGAAAACTGCTGCTAAACTGGGTGGTGGTGGAGCACACCTTTAATCCCAGCACTCGGCAGGTAGAGGCAGGTAGATCTCTGTGAGTTCAAAGTCAGTAGTCTACAAAGCGAGTTCCAAGACAGGCACCAAAACTACACAGAGAAACTCTGTCTTGAAAAACAGCAAAACAAACAAAACAAAAACAAAAAACAAAAAGAAAGAAAAAAAGAAAACGGGTACTGTAACCTACAGTAGATTTGATAAAAATGCTGATAAATAAGAGTAATGGGTTAAGACAGATGCAGGGGTGGGACTAAGGATGCCTAGCATATGTAAAACCTTGGGTTCCATGGACAATAAACCAAGCATGGTGGTACATGCCTGTAACCTGAACTCTCAGTAGGCAGAGTCAGAAGAAGTGTGAGGCTAGACTGGGATCCCTGAGGTCCTGTCTTAGAGCAAATAAAACAGCAGAAAGGGGGTACAGAAAAAGGGAAGTCACCCCTACAGGTAACTCTCTGGAAACTGAGGGGTGGGGGCACTTGAGTTAAGGATGGTTCTAGGTGTGCAATGAGTTCCCCAGAGGAGAGAGAAGTGTAGCACGTCAGAGCAGAGAGAGCCGCTGTGCGAGTTAAGCCCAAAGGGAAGCGTCACAGAGACGGAGGGGGTCAGGTGGCACTGAGAGGCGGGATACTTTGGGGTGCTGTAAGTTGCATGGCTCCCACTCTCCCTGAGCAGTCTAATGAGTGGTCGTTTGAGGAAGATACATTTCTCACATCCAGGGACATAAAAAGCCAAGGTTTCAACACAGCCTCACCCTGATCAGTCCATGCCTGTGCCTGATGCCCCTTGCCTCTCAGAACTCTCACTCCGAACTCTTCGTTTCAGTTGTGAATCTGACATACTGGGTAGCCAGTTCCCAGGAGAGCTGAGACGATGGAGAGGAGGCGAACAAGGGAGATCTACCTAGTCAGGTGTCAACTACAGCAAAGCTTCCATGATGGCCATGGGCCATGGCGACCAGCAAAAATGGATGAGTGATTGACCAATGGGTGAATGAATGAATGAATGAATGAACTAGAAATTCAGACCAAAGAATTCAAGAGGATCGGAAGTGTAGTCTTTTAGACAGAAGACATCTATCTCTGCATGATACACCATGCATGGTTGCAATACAACACTGGCCCACTATCCCAATACATGCAATGTGTTTGAACAAGGAATATGTGAGACATTGTGGAACCAATGCAGTAAGAGCTAGGAAAGTGACTGGGGGTGCAGTGGGGGGGGGGACTGGTGTTAGACCTCCTAGCTTGCTTGCATTCTTGTGCTCTGAAATAGCTACTAAACCATACAAATCCTTGGTGATCTCATCTCTAAAATGGGGTTCCCTACTCATAAAGTCCTTGGGAAGGTTAAATGAAATAACCCATATGTATTAGTAAGGGTTCTTTAGAGCAACAACTTATAGAGTGAATACATATGTATATGGGATTTATTGGAATGACTTACAGTCTGCAATCCAGCTAATCCAACAATGACTGGCCGTGAACGGAAAGTCCAAGAATCCAGTAGTTGCTCAGTCCACAAAGCAGATGTCTTAGCTGGTCTTCAGTCTATGCTGGCGTCCCGAAGAAGAAGGCTCCAATACCAGTGAAGGAATGAATATGCTAGTAAGGCTACGGCAAGCAGGCAAAGAGCAAAAGCTTCCTTCTTCTGTGTTTTTATATAGACTTCCAGAAGACGGTGTGGCTGAGACTAAAGGTGTCTTCCCACCCCAAGATTCAGATCAAAGACATAGGTCTTCCTGACTCAAAGGTCCAGACTAGAAGTGGATTCACCCACTTCAAACCGAGCAGAGAATCTCTCACAGGTGTGCCCTCCATTTCTGGTCTGTAGTCCATTCCAGATGTAGTCAAATTGACAACCAAGAGTAGCCATCACACCGTGTGGGTTAGTTCTTAGAACAGTGAGCAAGTACTCAACAGCTAATCATTATTCCTGTCATTATTATACTAGAAGAGTATAAATGCTGGGCTTTGCCCCAAGCACAACCATAGCTGGAATATTCTCAGAGTCTCTTGGCAGTGCAAAAAAGTTCCCTTCTTGAAACAATATGGAATAGTTGAAGCAACTAAGGAACTATCCAGAAACAGCAGTTGCCTCTGTCCCATTCATTGTGTCTGTTTTGGGCAGTAGAGGTCCCTGAGGAAGAGACAGCAGCTCCAGGGTTCTGGCCACCAGCCACTTCTAAGCAGTATACTTCCTTTGAGGAACACTGGCCTTTTCCCCTTTGCCCTTTGCCCTTTGCCCTTTGGCCATCCAAAGAAAAGAGATGTTCTTCTGAGATAGCTAGGAGAATCTGAAGCTGTTTCCTTCCGGTCGTATGTCCTGAGCTGTATGAACACAATCTACCCCTGAATAAGAAATATGCACATCATCAGGGTTGCTGGGGTGCCAGGGCAATGGAAAGATACCAAACATGTTGCAGAGCAGTGGCCATGAGGCAATGGAGGCAGTCCTGGGTGGTTTTCCTTTGATCGGTGTCTTCCTGGCAACCAAGTTGGATGCACAGGATACTCCGTAATGGAAAAACCTTGGCCTGGTTTCTCAGTGTAGTGAACAATGGAAGGTACAGGTTGCTCCGCAGGAAGGTGGCTGCTTCCTTGCCAATGGATGGCAGGACAATAAAGCGTCTTGTCCTCTGTTTGTGTGTCTTCCAGGCTGGAGCAGGAAATACAAGCGCTCGAAAGTGAAGAGTCCCAGATATCTGCCAAAGAGCAGCTCATCCTCGAGAAACTGAAGGAGACAGAGAAATCCTTCAAGGACCTGCAGAAGGTGAAGGAAAAAACGCCGGATTTCTCTAACGGCAGGGAATGGGAGGCAGCCCCCGGGAGAAGCAGGCAGAGCCGTGGTTCTCAGCCTTCCTTTTAATACAGTTCTTCACGGTGTGGTGATACCCCAACCACAAAATTATTTCATTACTACTTCATAACTGTATTTTTGCTACTGCTAGGAATTGTGATGTAAATATCTGACATGCAAGATAGCTGATATGGGACCCCCAAAGGGGTCATGACCCACAGGTCGAGAACCACTGGGCTAGACTGTAGTCGAGAAATCTGAACGGTACACTGAAGAGGGCAGAAGTGCCAGGAACAGGTTCCATACCAGCAGCAGAGAGGCCTGTCTTCATTGGGAGGCATGGAGACGAGTCTGTTAGGGGAATGCTATGTATTTGCTACTGTCTACACCCCATATCTCCCAAATGTCTGAAAAGTCTTCAAATTAGGTGCCAGAATTGTAAACCTTTTAAGCAGAATAGACAACCTTGGGTAGCTTTAGTTAGAATTCGCCTTTGGAGCCTTTCCTTTATGAAAGGGCTAGAGGCAACTTTGTAGCAAATGGGCGGGACTCCCAATACAAACCCTGTAAATGCATGGAACTCCCCCAATTTAAAAGCAAATGGCTCTTAGCGGTAGCACCAGAGAGGCCCTAATTTCTCATGACCCCACTTTCTGCCTCCTGTCTTTGTGATAGGGAAAAAAAAAAGCTATATAAAATTAAGTTCAAGATGGGAATTTTCTAACATAGCGTCTCCAGCACAACTCAGAATTGTTGCTGGATGATGATAAATTGATTGACATCCGGTGGAGGTTGAGAATGGTAGATCCTTAACTGATCCCAGAAGAAAAGCAAGCTTGGGTCTTGTCTGCTGCCTGCCCGGTTCTGGCTCTGTGTCTGGGGGGTTGAGGTTAGGATACACCACATGCACACACAGTGACACTCTGTCCTGCTCTTGTCTCCACAGAGTCTCTCCACTGCTGATGGAGGTAAGTGCACTCTGCCCTGGCTATACACGGATGCTTTCCTCCCGGTCTGCTGAGTGCTTCTCATTCATACAGACTCACCAGGAGAGAGATGTGAACTGGCACTTCCTAAGGGCATCATCCCAGGCAAGGGGCAGCAGCCTAGCTGGCAAGGGCCCCAAGGGGTCCACGTTGCCATCTTTACGGCCTCTGCTTTTTGACTTGATGCTTCTATTAGCACACGGGCCAGCTTTTTCCCTCAGCTCAAGCCTCCCCTAAAGACTTGCTGTCCGGACTTTTCTTGAAACGGGTCGGCAAAAGAATGTGCTCGAGTCAGCTAAGTCCCTTGCAGGAACCAGCCCATCCTCGCCAGTCACTAAGTCTCCAGGTCACATCAGAGGTGATCTGGTGTTCAGGAAACCCTTCTAAGGCCTCTGGAGCTTTCTTTTGAAAGGATGGAGGGCCTCATTCCCTCCATCATCCTAGGCCACCATAGCCTCTCTAGCCTTCCAGGGAAACTGGGCGAGGCGTAGTTTCCCTTTCTTCCATATCTGACCCTGAGCCCTGGCAAGTGGGAATAGGACTCTAGTAGCCCTATTCCCAGCCAGACAGAGGGACAGGTCCTTCTCCTCTCCCCTCCTCTGCCTTCCCGGGATGTGGGGATGAACATGGGACTATGCCTCTGTGTCTCACTGCATCCCCTGACCTCAGCTATAAACTCCAAGTTGCTGTTTTCATCGTGGCCCTCACTAGACGGGCTTTGAAATGCAAGGACACATGGGAGCATCAGCTGCTACCTGCCTTTCCTGTGGCTCTCACACCATCAGCCTCTAGCTCAGGAAGATGATGGGGGTCAGAGAAGTTGGCATCAGAACATTTCCCATTGTCATTGAGGGGAAAAAATGGAGGACAGTTCTTAAAAATGTGATGATGTGTAATACATTTCTTCTGGATCAACCACAGACCAGATATTTGCATGTAGGACAGTTCTGACGGGTGCAAAAGACAGGCAAAATAAAGCAACAGAGAAGGTATCATGAACTCCACCCCCTCCTCCCCAGCAAGTGAAAGCCCTGGATTTGAGCTCCCTTGTAGGTGATCTTTGAGAAGGACATAAATGAAACCTTCTGTTCTCAGAACCCAAGGCAGGGACCCACCAGCGGGAACTCTGGCAGAAAAGGACCAATCGCATTTTCTAGGAGAGAAGCCCAGCCCCTCTAGGTTGTGACTCAACTGGGACACAGATGAAGGGGGTGGCCACAGGGACCTGGGAGCTCTGCACAGAGAGCGGCCGAGGTTATGGTATCAGGGACGTGGAATCGCGCCCAGGCCATGCTGGGGCTGGAGCATGGACCCACAGACACTTGCATCTGCAGAAGTCATGTTGTCCTTTCATGCTGTACCCTTTCCTGCCTCCTGCTACCCCATCCTCTAACCAGGACCATCCTTGGACCTTTCTCTGGTTGTCAGGGTAGGGAAGGAATCTGTATATCCTGCCCCTGAGCTGGCTGTGTCTGGCATGGATATCTGAGTAATCTACAACTTAATAACCAAAATGGAGTCAAGTTGTAATTTGTTACCGCTGTCTCCTTCATTTACATCCCAAAAGCCCTGCTCATTTCCTTCTGAGGCCTTCCCAGTGTTTTCTCTGGACCCTGCAAGCATTCAGAGTCAGGAGGCATCCTGACAAAATACTTTGGAAGCTCAGAGATGGGTGACCTCAGACTTAGGAGGATATGATTTTCAGGGATCCTCAAGAGCTATTTCTGTGGTCTTACCTGTCACCCAACATTGTGATTCCTGACCCCTATGGTTCTAAGCCTTCGTGACCTCCATCAGTCGCACCTAGTAGCAAAGGAAGACGTCTGAAGAAGGGCACACAGCACACATACTAATAAGAACATAATCCATGTCAAGGTCATTTTATGATCTGAGAATAAAACCCCCAAACACATCCCACTTGGGGGTCATTGAGAGGTCTATTTTCAAATTCTTTGTTTCAAAGATTCTAAGTTGATGAGACCCTCTTAGAATCAACCAACTTGTTACTAAGGCTTAATAGGAAATTATTCTAGAATGATGATACTGAAAGGAAAAACCTCAGTTTCAGAGACATAGACATGCTGGCTACAGAATCTAGTTCTAGCTTGGACTGTATGAACTGTGTAGATGCTGCAAAGAGTCAATTCCAACGTCCTCTATCTATGAGTGCTGAGGAGGGTAGGTATGTGCCTGTGTGCGTGTGCGTGTGCGTGTGCGTGTGCGTGTGCGTGTGCGTGTGTGTGTGTGTGTGTGTGTGCAGATACACACACACAACGGGTCTTCTTTGGATACCCCCCTGTATATGATCCCACATATATTAGAGGAAGTGGTAATATTGTTGAGTCTTTGATGGTGTTTGATATTATGGAAGCCCTGCTTGGAAGAACAGTTCATTCTACTCTTGGTTACAATTTCCTGAACAAGCTATGATGTGTCCCTCTGCTCTTTAAATAACATGGTTACCTACCAGAACCTTGAGTGTTTTATGTGAGTATAAATTGCATATGGTATGTGCTTTAGTTTCGTCTCTGCTGCTGTGATAAATACTAGGACCAAAAAAATCAACTTGGAGGAAAAGAGTTTATGTTAACTCACAATCTCAGGTTACAGTCCATCATAGTAGGGAAGTCAAAGCAGCAGGAACACCAGCTAGTCACATCACAGCCACAGTCAAGAGCAGAGAGAAGTGAATGCCTACCTGCATATTCGAACTCAACCACCTCTCTTCATGTAGGATCCCCTACCTAGGAGATGGTGCCACCCACAGTGGGCGAGTCTTCCCACATCAATTAACATAATTTCCCAAGGGGCTGTAGAAATTGACTGTTCAGCATTTAAGAGTATTTGTTGCTCTTGCAAAGGACCCAGGTTCGGTCAACGCCCACAATGTGCCCTCCAATTCCAAGGGACCCACTATCATCTTCTGAATTCTGAGGGCATCAGACATGGATGTGGGACACATAATACATGCAGGCAAAACACTCATATACATAAAGTAAATCTAAAAAAAAATGTAAGGCAATTCCCCACACATATGCCTGTAGGCCAACCCAATCTAGAAAAACCCCTCCTTGAGACCGTTTTCCCAGCTGGTTCTAGATTATGTCAGGTGGACAGCTAAGGTAGTCAGCACAGTATATACCTACAGTATGTATCTTAAGTGAAGCCTTGGCAAAACAAGCAGAGGAGCATGTGCATCCTGAACCTATCCCAGTCTTGCTGTTGGCTGCTGAGCTTAGATTCCTGTCCTGTCCCAGTCGATGGTGTCCTGGAGCCACACCGAAACCTCCACACCTTGACTGGGAAATCTCAATATTTGGTTGTCTGTCTCTCAGTCATGTGTCAAGAAGAGTTCTCATCAAGGCTGCGCCTCCAGCTCTCGCTGTATGTGATCTTCATAAGTACTGCAGTGTTTCAGCTGTGCTGGAACAAAGATGCGCTCTGAATATCTGCCTCATATGTGCTGGGCTCCATCTTCTCTGACAGCAGAGACAATGCTGAGAGACCCCTGGTGTTGACAGAAAAAGGGCACCTTAGTGACTAAGGCCAGCTAAAGACCATTTGCGATTCTGTGTGCTGAGCTTTCAGACTTCCTGGCTATTTGACAAATAAGGTTTAGTTCTTTCTTCTCCTTCTTCTTCTTCTTCTTCTTCTTCTTCTTCTTCTTCTTCTTCTTCTTCTTCTTCTTCTTCTTCTTCTTCTTCTTCTTTTCCTCCTCCTCCTCCTCTTCGTCCTCCTCGTCCTCCTCCTTGTTCTCCTTTTTCTGAAACAGCGTTTCTCTGTGTAGCTCTGGCTATCCTAGAACTCACTCTGTAGACCA